ATGTCACCTGTCACTGTCCCCAGTGTCCCCAGCTGTCCCCAGGTGTCCCCAGGTGTCCCATGTCACCTGTCACTGTCCCCAGCTGTCCCCAGGTGTCCCCAGCTGTCCCATGTCACCTGTCGCTGTCCCCAGGTGTCCCCAGCTGTCCCCAGCTGTCCCCAGGTGTCCCCAGGTGTCCCCAGCTGTCCCCAGGTATCCCCAGGTGTGTCCCCAGCTGTCCCCAGGTGTCCCCAGGTGTCCCATGTCACCTGTCACTGTCCCCAGTGTCCCCAGCTGTCCCCAGGTGTCCCCAGCTGTCCCCAGGTGTCCCATGTCACCTGTGGCTGTCCCCAGGTGCGGGTGAACGTGGTGCAGAACAATCTGGCGCTGCTCATTTACCTGATGCGCATGGTGAAGGCGCTGATGGACAACCCCACGCTGTACCTGGAGAAATACGTGAGTGTCACCTGTGTCACCTGTGTGTGTCACCCGTGTCACCTTCTGTGTCACCTGTGTCACCCCTGTCATCTGTGTCACCCCCTGTGTCACCCCTGTGTCACCTGTGTGTCACCCCTGTCACCTCTGTCCTCACCTGTCCCTGATGGACAACCCCACGCTGTACCTGGAGAAATACGTGAGTGTCACCTGTGTCACCTGTGTCACCCCTGTCACCTGTGTGTGTCACCTGTGTGTGTCACCTGTGTCACCTGTGTCACCCCTGTGTCACCTGTGTGTGTCACCTGTGTGTCACCTGTGTCACCTGTGTCACCTTCTGTGTCACCTGTATCTCACCCGTCTCACCTGTATCTCACCTGTCTCTCACCTGTCCCCAGCTCCACGAGCTGATCCTGGCGGTGATGACACCTGTGTCACCTGTCCATGTCTCACCTGTCTCACCTGCCCATATCTCACCTGTATCTCACCTGTCTCACCTGTATCTCACCTGTCCATGTCTCACCTGTCCATATCTCACCTGTCCATGTCTCACCTGTATCTCACCTGTCTCACCTGTCTCTCACCTGTATCTCACCTGTGTCTCACCTGTCCCTCACCTGTCCGCAGCTGCACGAGCTGATCCCCGCTGTCATGACACCTGTCCATATCTCACCTGTCCATGTCTCACCTGTCCATATCTCACCTGTCCCTCACCTGTCCATGTCTCACGTGTCTCACCTGTATCTCACCTGTTCATGTCTCACCTGTCCGCAGCTGCACGAGCTGATCCCAGCGGTGATGACACCTGTCTCACCTGTGTCTCACCTGTCTCACCTGTCCATGTCTCACCTGTCCATGTCTCACCTGTATCTCACCTGTATCTCACCTGTCCATGTCTCACCTGTCTCACCTGTATCTCACCTGTCCATGTCTCACCTGTCCGCAGCTGCACGAGCTGATCCCCGCTGTCATGACACCTGTCCATGTCTCACCTGTCCATATCTCACCTGTCCATATCTCACCTGTCTCACCTGTCCATATCTCACCTGTCCATGTGTCACCTGTATCTCACCTGTCCATATCTCACCTGTCTCACCTGTCCATATCTCACCTGTCCATGTGTCACCTGTATCTCACCTGTCCATGTCTCACCTGTGTCTCACCTGTGTCTCACCTGTGTCTCACCTGTCCGCAGCTGCACGAGCTGATCCCGGCTGTCATGACACCTGTCCATATCTCACCTGTCCATGTCTCACCTGTCCATGTCTCACCTGTCCCTCACCTGTCCTGTCTCACCTGTATCTCACCTGTCCCTCACCTGTCCGCAGCTGCACGAGCTGATCCCCGCTGTCATGACACCTGTCTCACCTGTATCTCACCTGTCTCACCTGTATCTCACCTGTCCCTCACCTGTCCGCAGCTGCACGAGCTGATCCCCGCGGTGATGACGTGCATCGTCAGCCGCCAGCTCTGCCTGCGCCCCGACGTCGACAACCACTGGGCGCTGCGGGACTTCGCTGCACGGCTGGTGGCACAGGTGTGCAAGAACTTCAGCACCACCACCAACAACATCCAGTCCCGCATCACCAAAACCTTCACCAAGGTGGGGTTTGGGGTTTGGGGTCAGGGTTTGGGGTTTGGGGTCAGGGTTTGGGGTTTGGGGTCAGGGTTTGGGGTCAGGGTTTGGGGTCAGGGTTTGGGGTTTGGGGTCAG